AAAAAAGTTTTAAAAAACACCAAAAAATGTCTTTTTACCCCTACAAAAAGAAAAAAAAAAAAAAAAAAAAAAAAAAAAAAAAAACATGCAGCCACAGATACAATTAAATGATTTTGATAAAATGATGTATATCTTAGAATGGCCCAGTCAAAGTCCAGACCTTAATCCAATTTAGAATAGGTGGCAAGACTTGAAGATTGATGGTCTCAGACCCTCTACCTCCAATCTGGCAGATCTTGAGGTATTTTGAACATAAGAACCAAACAACAACAACAAAACAATCAGTTTCTATGTGCAAAGTTGTTAGAGGAAACAAACTCAGACCTATAGCTGATATTTCACCAAAATGTGGTTCCGCAATCTTTTAAATGGAGGGTTCTTAAAACACATCCATAAAGGGGAAGCTATCGTTTCAAGGGATTGTAAATAATTATTTGGCTTCAAAACTTCTTCCTTCTGATGACTCAGTAGGAAACAAATCAACAGGGTGGAAGCCACGCTGCCTGTTGCTTTAAGTGTTTGAGTGACTCGACTCTGTGAATCACTGCCTGCATTGCTTCAAGCATACCGGTAATTCATTTCCTTCCTTCCTGTCTATAGACTTGTGAATGAAAGAATGCCACACCTGGCCATTCATACAAACATGGAGAAAAAACTGACTGAGGGTAGTTTGTGTTCAAGCAGGATGGAGTCAGGGGGGCTTGGAGGGAGAGCGATGTGGGTAAAAAAAATTAAAATAGCTGGTATAATTAGGTGAAGCAATTCTCCCTGGCTATAGAGCACCTATTTTCAGCCAGTGGTCTCTGTCTGAGCTGTGCTTGTAATGAAACCAAAAAAATCTGCTAATGTGCTTTGATTTGGACTGGCTAATTTTTTGAGAAAAGCAACTCAATCTGTAGAGACATTCTGCTCTATATTGGCAACATTATTCCTCTGTGTGTTGTTTTTGAATGACCTTGTTTCAATGTCAGAGGAGCATTAGTCATTTTCCAGCTACTTCTTGCCTGCCTCAGCAAACCTCAAAATCCAGGACACGCCCTTTGGAAAACCAAAGTACAAATCATTATTGCACTGTTGAGTCTTACTTCTTGAAGCTAAATCAGTCATTGCTCCAGTCAGGGGCCCCGTTGATGACTCTGAGACTTCCTCACTATTTTATTACACTCACAGAGAAGATCTGTGTCTGTGATTACACCTATGTTACCCCTCAAAACCCAGACATGACTAGTAGAACTGGATGAACAGGAACAGTAGAGTCCTATAGGGCTAAAAGGGGAAAACCATTATCACACATACTATAGGATTTAATTTTCTAAGCTTTTAAATGGAATGTAGAAGTTTGATTGTAAAGCAGAACATAGGGGAACATGATCAAATAGAGTATTTTTTCTATGCATTTCTGTCTTGTATCTTTTTCTGAAATGGTTCTTTTGTCTTTCTTGACCCACTTCGCAAGTGTTGTGTCAACAGTTATAAGTTAACTGTGATTAACACAGATATTTTACAGTTTAGTTTCGGTAGCCATACTCTTTGCTGGTTAACACAAAGAATCAATAAATCATTTAATGAACTTGTCTGACAACAAGAAGTAGGTTAAAAGATCTCAAAAAGCAAGCAGCCCCATTCTGTAGAAATTCGAGAACATGAAAGAAACCAGTCTGGAAAGTGTCAGAAAACTATTTTTAGGACTTTGTGAGTTCAACAAACCTTAATGGCTCATTGAGAGCCATTAAGCACAAAGAAAACATGGGTGTTGTAAACATTACCCCAAGGACGTAAAAGAGGCATGTCAGAGGGGAAATAGTTCTCCATGGCCCTCTCTCTATGCGTAGGGAGAGCAAAAAGTATTTTAGGTTACATTTTGTGTTTCTTAAATTTTGTCCCATCATTTCTAATCAACACTGCCTTTTCCAAGCAGCTTCTGAATAAATATAGACTGTAATAATAGGGAGGTCAAGCTTTCATGATCCTTTTCTGGTTGGCTTCAGTTTTTACAAATAGTACATTTTTAAATATGATAAAACATTTAACATTCTCTGGAGTTTTTGTCCTCTGTTCTATCTCTTTGCTTTAAATGTATCTAAATCTTTAGTTCTAGCAAGAGAAAATTAGTCAGAAATTAATTTATTCTAATGTAATTTTACATTTACACTCAGAATATGACATCATTATGTTAAGTATCATAATACTTTTTACATTTACTACACTGTAATTATTGTGTAAACTAAAACATTTTCACATTTTTATTCAGTTTTTATTTATTATTAGTAGTAGTATGGTTCTGTCACAAAGTCTCTTTCATCCTGTTATGTCTTCATAACTATATATAAACAGGGTTTTTTTTAATTGCTAAGTGAGAAAGGAAAAAAAAACAGGAATTATTTGCTAACAAAGATTGAAAGGAGGATATGAAAATTTTGTAAAATATTTATTAGTTAGTTAAATGTATTGTACAGATATGGGCGTGTAATATCTCCCTTCAATATTCTTTTAGATTTAGACAAAAAGAAGAGGAAGTTCAGCTAAAAAGATTTCCGATTGGTCAAAAGGCGGTAAAAATTTTGCCTGAAAATTTGGTTACCTAGCAACATGGGCCTGACGTCATCCGTCCCGGCGCGACCCTGCTGCTGTGCGTTTGATTGGAGGGAAACCCCGTGGATGAGCGGGAGAGAACATCAGCTGTGCGGCCGTGGCATCAGGAGCGACACCGTTTAAAGACATTCACAGGTCAGTCCTACATCTATTTTTCGTTTTTACTAACCGATGTACGTTTATCGAGACATCGTTGAATTCCCTCTGCACGTCATGGAGTCGCTGTGGGCCCCACGTTGGTCGCCGTTTTTGTCTGGGGTGTAGGTGGAAGTCATTGATGCTCCGCTGCCCAGTCATTGTTTGTTCGGCGTCTGCTGAATGAGCAGCGCGAATCTGCTGCTCGTTAACGCGTCTATTCTTGTATTCGGCATTTTTTTTAAGAGGGTAGCTTGTGGGTGTGTCGAATCCGTATTTGTGAATGAAGCGACTTAAAACCGGACGATTAATGGGAGTAAAGCCAACGGCTCCGTTGTTTTCCGGAAGGCGAAAAAGGGCGTTCACTGTGAACTGAAGTAAGCTAGGCTCCTTTAATCATCTCACCGTTAAACTCGTTCAGTGAAACTATTCGTATTTTCTCTGTGCGAGGCATCGTTAGGCACTGAAAATATAACTTGTATTCATTTATGAAAAGCGTCACTTGTATAGCCGGACATGGTTTGACCTCAGTGGGCAGGTGTGTGTGTGTGTGTGTGTGTTTGAGAGAGAGAGAGACAGAGAGAGAGAGAAAGAGTGAGGTAAAACTGGGTGGGCGACATTCCTCAGAAGGGCGCAGGTGTGTGCTGGGAATTCTCCCCATTAATGATCGTTTGATTTCATCTTTTTATAAAGCTGGGATGACCCATAGCTTTAAAGCCTCTTATGTAACACAGGGAATCTGAATTTTATTGAATGAAACATCCTGGTCATCCACATAAGTGCTCGCGACATGTTAAAAAAATAAAAGTCCCAGAGCAATAAGTCAGTTACCATGTTGCCAGGGCAGTAGGACTTGCATGGCGTTTGGGTTACTGCATTTGTTGTTCTTGTCCAGTGATGGATTGAATTTTTTTGTCTTCCATCTAAGCCCCTGTGGAGACTCATACACTCCATTCTTGTATTGCTAGTTAATAAACTGGTGTGGGCTATATGCTTTTCATATTGAATTTTGCTAAAGAAGTCGATTGGTCACACATTGGATAGCTAAATCGACACTGGTACAATATGCCGGCTACTTTTCTAATACATTCAGACGAAAGTGTTCTCTCTGCCATGTTGTTTATCTGTAATAACTGATCAGACAGAAACAAATCTGCCAAATAGATTTCAGACCAATTTTTACTTTTTCAAAGCTTTTACTTGCTTTGTAAAAGAAAAAAAAAGTTATTTGTGATCTTACTGCTAAGAGAGTCCTATAGGTATTTATATTTGTTGATGTGAAGCCTTGTGTAAAAACAAGGTTTTCTTGATTCAAGAGGAAAGCAGTCATTATTCTTATATTGCCGAGTAGCTTGGTTAGCATTACTGACTTTGAACAGCAGTCTGCGTGTGTTGGTGGTTTGCAGGCTTTAGGCTTGCTATTTTAGATGGCAACCGCTAAGATTTTCCGTCATGTCACTCCTGCAGTTTGAAGTTTGTATACTGAGATGCCAAAGCAAACACTTGGATGATCAGGGTATTCTGTGGCAGTACGGTACATAGATTAAAGAAGCATTGCTCCTTCCCTGCTGGTTGCTGAGCACTGCAAATCAGCTGGCTGAAAGAAGGCTACTAAATGTTTGGAGATGCCAACATCTTCAAACCCTGGACATTCCACTACAGACAGAGGCTAATGGCTAAGGGAAAATGTGTATGTACAAATTGACGTCCTGTTGTAAACTTCTTTTTTCTACGCTCAGAAATTGAAGTATAATGTGACAAAAAACTGCTTGGTTGATGCCGAAAATTGACCAGCAGCAGCAGCCAGAATTTACCTCTGTTTTAATGAAGAAATGCACCTTCCTAATTTAAACAGCTTCTTGCATCTCTGCTTCTTTGTGTAAATCAATCTGTGAGAAGACAAAGCAGGTGATTCAGTGTGAATAATAACAGTAATGAAGTAAGAAGCTGCTGTGCAGATTTACTCACAAAGAGTGAAACACTGAAGGGATTGGAGCCGATGTCAACTAATTTAAGGATGGAATAGAAATATCCTTCACTGTCTGTCAGTGTGGAGAAATTTAGCTGTTGTGCATGAAGTGACAGATTTCTAAATCATTTGAGTGTTTTGGTAATGAATAATTTGTTACACAAAGAAAATTTGTTTACGTTATTGTAGTTAAATGTAAAAGTTAGTTCATGCATCAGATCCAGCACTCACCTGTGGTTCCTGTTTGTCCCCGACTTCCTCTCCTCTGTCCTTCCTTCCTCGCGCTGCCTTCACAGAAGCCATGGCAGACAAGGGAGAGCAGGTACAGAAGGCCAAGCTGGCCGAGCAGGCCGAGCGCTACGACGACATGGCCGCAGCCATGAAGGCCGTCACTGAGGAGGGCTCGGAGCTCAACAACGAGGAGCGCAACCTGCTGTCTGTGGCCTACAAGAACGTGGTGGGAGCCAGGAGGTCCTCATGGAGGGTGGTCTCCAGCATGGAGCAGAAGTCAGACAGCACCAAGACTGCACTGGCAAAGGAGTACAGGGAGAAAATCGAGAAGGAACTGAACGACATCTGCAAGGAAGTTTTGGTAAGGAAAGGTTAAAGCAGGTGGTGGAAAGAACAAATAAGCAGGTTTCTGATTAAACTATTGGAAAGTTGGTGATTCAGAGATTTGTTTGTATGCAATTTGAAGATGAATAGATCACTGGGATTACTTGGTATATTACTTATCAGGTTTTCAAAGACTTGAAGCAACCAGGATTATCTCAGCGCTACAAATGTTCTTTTATGCTTACTCAGTCGTTTTAAGATTATTTTGTGCCATGTCAACAATTAACATGTAGAGCAGTAGCAGGAAGGGGCTCCTCATTGGATGCTGCGGTGACACCTACTGGCTGCATGTGGTACTTAAACATGATGATTTGGGAGTAAAGGGAGAAGTCCAGCATGTCATTCACATGGCAGTTTTATCCCAAGAAGGGCTTCACAAGGCTTTACAAGCAAGTATTACAGTAAATACATGCTTTTAAAAGCAAGTATTTAAAATTAAATACTTGCTTCTAAACCTGTCGGGAATATACTTTATGCTCCATTGGTCAGTGTTTCTTTGGAGACCAGCTGATTTTTAATTCCGGACAGGATATTGTAATGGGGTTTATGCTATAAATTTCTTCTGTTTTTATCGAATATTTTATTTTTGATGGAGTCTTTTTGTAGATGCTATGTGTACATTTACGTTGCATTGTAACAATCATGTTTAACTTCGTTCAAATTTCCCCAAGCCATAACTGCAAATTACTGTATTTTTTTGATACTTGAATACAAAGTATTTCATACTTGTGATGTGGAAGGTAAAGGACTGATTTTAACATTTGATCTGAAAACCTTCACTTGCATTCTTAAGCTCTTTTAACTATCAGTCCTCTAAATAAATTCAATGTCCTTTGAGGAAAAGAGAGGTTTGCCACAAGAGAACACAGCAAGCATGTGAATGAAGGGGCTCTGATAAAATGAACTAAACCTCGTCTGCTATGGTGGCAGCATCATGGATAAGAGTTCATGGGGATGAATGAAGCTAAATACTATTTAATCCTGGGAGAAAATCTTCTGGAGAATGGAAAGAGTAATCGTGACGGGCTGCTTGTTTTTGTTGCCATGCATTAAAGCTCATCTTTCCAATTATATTATCGCCCACTTAGAGTGTCAACTGATATAGATCTTAGTGACCAAGATCATAAAGGTCATGGGACGTTCAGGATGTTAAAGGAAAATTTGATTCATATGCAACAATACTTGAACATGGCAAGGATAATTTGAGCTTAAGCTATTATGGAAAAATAGGCTTTTAATCTCTAAACTTGCAAAGCTGGTGGCGTCATGTCCCAAAAGACTTGCAGCTGCAGGCGGTTCTACTAACTATTGTCTCAAGGGGAGCTGAACATGCGACTAATTTCATTGTTCTATTTTATAAAAATGCTAATTTCACTGGAAAGTTGTGCCTACCTGTGTGAGTGGGCATGACTCAAAAGGCTCATTTTGCCAGTGTGTTTTTAATATTGCTCATCTGCTTTTAAGAAGCAGTGAAAAGGTGATGGTGCTTTATTTAATTCATATTTTCAAAATTTTTTATTTTAGGGTTTACTATATAAATGCATTTAAAATTGTACCCTTTATCCTGCAGGATTTACTCGACAAACATCTCATCCCCAAAGCTACGCCCGCTGACAGCAAAGTCTTCTACCTAAAGATGAAGGGAGATTACTACCGATACCTGGCTGAGGTGGCAACTGGAGAAGACAAGGAAAGTAAGCAAAACGCAACTTCATACATTGCTTTATATTTATCCTTGTGCTAAAACCTAGATCTGCAGTGTGTTTCTGTGTAATGGTCTGTAGCTCATTTATCAGCTTGATGGGATGAATGTGTTCTGATCAGAGATCCTGTAAATCCTCCATATCGTGAAGACTTGGCGTGTTTCAGGTGTTTGTGGGCAGAATACTGACATCCTCTTTGTCCTTGATCTACATCTGTCAGCTGTAGAGCAGGGATGGGCTGCTGCAAAGAGAGCGGCACCATGCTGTTGGCTGCTTTTAATAGCCAGGATTTATTCCTAATTTTCTATCGCAATGTGAACCGTGTTCGTTTCAGAAAGCAACTTCTATGTAAATCATCCATAAAGTGTGAATGGAATGGATTATTATTACCTCTGTAAATCTAAAACGATCCCTCTTGGTTGGGTGTAAGCCCTGTTCAGTCATTGATCTGTATTTCTCCAACCCTGTTGTTAATCATTGGGGGGGGGGGGGCTGGCCTTTTTTCTTTTCTCCCCACTAAACTAAGCCAGTTCTTAACCAGTTCCAGGGCTTCTAAAGGTATCCAGAGAGCTGCAGTGCAAAGATGAAAAATACCAACACAAATCACATAAATCTTCTATAAAATAGATGCCCCAGTGTCATTAACTTACCCATTTTTAACTCATATTTTGATTGGCTGTTGGTTTTCCTGAGCTCACCTCCAGTTCTTTCTCCTGACATCAGTTTGGTGCTGATGGAAACAGATCAACATTCCCAGCCAATACTAGGCAGTGGAAACCTGTAGTGCCAGTTTGGCGGAAAACTCCTCCACTTACAAATTAAAATGAGGCTTTGTATTTCAGAATTTTATCAGTACTCTTTTATCATAACAGAAGAGCCAAGACGTGTCGGGTAGTTTTGAGGTCTCAAACTCCAATCTGGAATATCTAGAAGCACCCAAGGTCCAGCATCCGTAAATCAATCTCAGCCTTCATTCAAGCCTTCAGTCCTGCTGATGATTTTTATTTAAATGTGCTGCACCAGAAACTCATATAAAAGGTGCAGGACTCCAGTACCCAAGGACTAGAGTTTAAAACCTCTGTTTTAAAATAAGTTGCAGGTAGTAAAGCAAAACAATAGTGAATTAATAAGTCTATGTATTAACCCCAAACGAATAACAGGGGAAAATACATCAGTTTGAAGGATATGAGGCTTTTCTTAAGAAAGCTTCTTTTACAATGAATTTAGACAGCTGTGTCTGGACTTAATATCATTAAATGGATGTAAATTTTGCTGATGCATATTGGTATCCAGATGTTTTATATGTTTTTGAGCATGTGTATCCTCACCTGATTAATCATCTTCTTTCATGAAGCCATCATCAACAACTCACAAGAGGCCTACCAGAAGGCATTGGATATCAGCATCAAAGAAATGCCTCCCACACATCCTATCCGTCTGGGCCTCGCGCTCAACTTTTCTGTTTTCTACTACGAGATCGTCAACTCACCTGATAAGGCCTGCCAACTGGCCAAGTCGGTAGGAATCCCCTCTCCAACCACAGTCCTGTTTTAGTTTCATTTAACCAACTTAACCTTTGGGTTTTTAAAAGCTAATGTTGAGAACTGCTGCTTACATGACTCACACTTAAAGCATTTGTTTGGAAAGATGTTGATGCAATGGACTTGCAACTACTTTAATGTATTGCAAGCAAAAAAGGGAATGAGTAAATTTTGCTTGATGTGGAGCTACAGAGCTTTGGCTTCATTTTCTTCTAAAGTGAGAGGAAGTGAATGTAAGGAAGACAATTTTCTTTAAGCCAAGCTTGATGGAACTGTACCTCCATGTTTAATTTGGAACTGGAATTTCAAACATTGACTAATGAAGGTTTAAATTTCCAATATTTTTAAATCTATTTAAAGATTACAAACTGAAAACATTCCTGCTTTTTTGCTATTTTTCTTCATAAGCTTGCTGTGGTTGTTTCCCTAATCCTGCAAGGTTGATTAGAGTTACCACGTTACCTCCTCAACATGAGATCAGGTTCTGCAGGAAGGACCTATTGACCCATTCATTCGGTTCAGGTGTGCTGAGCCAGAGAACATGTCTAAAACACACCGGACGGTGGCCCTTAGTGACTGATTTTGATCACCACTCCTCTTAAATAGGGTCTGGTGGTTTAGATGCCTAAGAAATCATTATTTCTCCTTTTTTTTAATTTTCACAAACCTATCAAAGGCAACATGGATCATAAACCATGCTTTAAAGAATCTGTACCTTTAGTCTATAATAATTTACAGGTGATCAAGCATAGAACTGATATAAGTTGGTGCAGAAGCCATTTAGGACGCTGCAGAATCTAAAATATCATGTTTCATGATAAAACCAACCTACTAACTTTACTCCAATATCTAGTTATTAAAACTGTAAACTTAAGTGGAAGTATGAAGTGGACAACATGCTGAAACTGTGAATAAAGGTTCTGTGATTCCAGCTTTGTAGTTTTGATAGGACCATTGATCATAAAATATCCTGAAACAAGAATAGAAAACATGAACTAGCATCACAACCAACTGAATTCACTTTTAATGTGAAAGTCTGAAGAGTGAACAATAAACTAAAATCTCAAAGTTTGTCTTCTGTTTTACGCATGTTGACTTTAAATCCTCCTACCAGGAGTCTTGAAAAATTTGAAACTAGGCCTGTCACGATAACAAATTTTGCTGAGCGATTGTCTAAAAAAATTATTGCGATAAACAATAATATTGTTTCAAGACCTTCTGACACTGATTTAATGAAAATGACTAATAATGCAAGCGATTTCCTGCCATAGACAGATGCACTTTATTTTCAAAAGAACACAACACTGGAACTAATAAACAAAATAAACAAAAGGGATTCTCAGTCTCCATTAACAAAAAACGTACTTGAATAAAAACTAAACAACATAAAGCCAAAGTGGAAATAAATACTTCATTCAACCAAACGAGTGCAGATTATGAAGTCTGTTTGTGCCCTTCAGTAATCACTAGATTTAAATAGAGAAGACGGGCACATCCTGACGCAATAGTTCACACTACACAATGTTTTGCCCTCATTTTCTCCTTACGACAATCTTAGATCGTTGACCGATCTAAGATTGTCGCTGGTGATTTCGTAACCGATCATCCTGCAGTGTGATTTAGATTGTGGTGGCTGCTCTGATCTAAATCAGGGGTTTTCCCGACTGGGAGCTTTAGGCAGCCTGTTGAATGTGACAGGTAGCCAATCAGAAAGCGCAGATTCTCCTCCTGCTTATAATGAGGGGAATCCCAAACTGCTGACACGGCACTACCGGACATTGGAGAAATGTGGAAACATTAATATTTA